CTTTCTTCACCATATTTGCTTATTCACTCGCTTTGTCTTCACGGTGCTTATTTTCATGGGCAAGGATGGCAGCTAATATTTGCCTTATTCATTTTCACTTTCTTTTCCCTTTGCCTGCTGAAAGATTCTGAGAAAGCTGGGCTAGCTGTGTAGTAGTAAAAATTCTAAAATGGGGAAAAATTATAAAATGGGAGTTTGGGGACTAGAATAGGATGTGAATTTAAGTTAATTCTGATAATTATATTCCTTTATAGTATAATGGAGAATCTCTTATTCATTCATTGCTTAAACAAATGATCAATTACAAATAAACAGATTTTTCATTCTAATGCACTAGAATTTTACAAATATACTCAGTGTTTACTAGTAAAATGTTAAGTACAGAAAGAAATTTTTTTTTTTTGTTTGTGGTTCTTAGTTGATAGATTTGAAAACTAAATTACCAGCCATTGCAAATTGGAGGAAGATAAGAAACCTATTTTTCAGTTTCCATGGTCTATTGGAAATATTTTTAGCTGCCAAGGAAGAAAAGCAAAGATGTTGATTATTTATAACTGGAAATTTTGTCTTCAGATAATTAGGTAATAACTATTCCTAAACGAAATTAAATATTAATTTATACAAATGTGATCTAGTTGGCCAAATTTATAAGTCTTTATGACTATTATTTTAATGCCTTTTATGTATATGAAAGTTGGTCAATGGAAACAGAGGAGAAATGGATGCATTTTCGTTATGATATTGGTGAAGAATATTAAAAATAGCATTGTCCCCAAAAAAGAAAATACCATGGCTGCCAGAAGCATGAATGAATGTCTTAGGAAAAATACTATCAGATTACTTCTTAGAAGCAATACTTTGGACAGGTCATCAGATGGGATCAGTCTCGGGGTAATAATTTTATGTTTGGCAAAGTGGAGGGTCAACAAAAAGAAAGATCTTCAATGAGACTGATGAACCCAGAGGCTGCAGCAATGGGCTCAAAATAGCATTGACTGTGAGGACAGGGCCAGATTCGGCAAGAAGTGTTTTGTTCTGTTGTATATTGGGCTGCTATGAGTCAGAATTGGCTTGACGGCATCTCACAACAATACAATTTTGTGTAGTGAAAATCAAAGCAGTCTATGAAACTCAGCATAACAGCATAAGCTGTTATGAAATTTCAAAACAACAACCCAAAATATGTAAAACAAAATTACCTTTTTCCCTGGACGACCTCTTTGTCCTGGAATTCCCATAATTCCTTCAGGTCCCTGAACATTCGGTATAAGAAAAGAAATCAGTGGTTAAAGAAAAGATTAACTGGATATGATACATCTTCAAAACATATGGCTCGAATAGCTAATATATCATATAATTTACTAAGTAATGGTCACTTTTCAGCCATACTATCTTTGTTTAATCATTTAACTACATCTTAATGAATAGAGGCATGCCTATTACTAGCTCGTATAATTCACACTAGTTCCTTCGAAGTGAGAATGGGTGAGACTTTCTTTCACATACTTTGGACGGTTAAGAGAGGCTGAGAGAAGGGCATCGTGCTTGGGAGAGGGTCCGTGTAAAAGAGAAAGACCTATGGGAGATGGATTAACATTGTGGCTGCACCAAGGGCTCCAGCCTAACAAACAAGAGTTTGGGAGTGACCCCGGATCAGGCAGCGTTTTCATGGGGTCACTGAGTTGGAACCGAGTCAAGGACACCTCACAGCATCAATGTTCCCACACACAGGCTGGCCGTGCGAGACAAAATTAAGCTACTCTTTAGGGAGGAGAAGGAGCTCTGGGAACTGTTCAACTCAAGAATGCTACATGGCAGAAACAGGCAGTAATCTGCTCCTGTAAAGACTCACAGTCGAGCAACCCTGCAGAGCACTTCTACTCTGCTCTCAGCGGAAGTACACCTGGCAGCAGTGGGGTTTCAGGTGTGAGGAAGACCATCGGTTTCAGTATATATTCATTTTAATTAGCAAGACTGCAATGGAAGGAAACCCCAAAACATCCAGTTTAGTGCAGTTCTGTGAACTACAGAGAAAGATGGGGCTTTTTACTCCCATAAAGAGTTACAGTCTTAGAAACTCACCCTGCCCAAGAGGGTCTGTATGAGTTGGGATTGAGTCTATGGTGGTGAGGTGTGTGTTTTGTTTGTTTTTAATGAGCTCTTGTGAGCTTAACACCTTGTTGAATGAGTAGGATTACAAAACAGATGATTACAAAATAGGTGATCAAGAATATGGCAATATCTTGGAGTAGAAAGGACTAAGAGATACTCTTTGATCTGTGGAAAAAAGGAGAGTAGGAATACAGAAAGAGCAAGGAGCTAGTCATATGAAACTATATTAAATTGATTAAAATAACATGTAGGTTTTAATATATACTTTGTTTAGCCGAATAGCTGAAATACTTTAGAGGTCATATGAATTTGCATATAAATTGAACAATAGTTAAGCAATAAGGAGATCCACAGTATGCCAGGTTGCAAGTTCTAAAATGGTAAATAATTAATCACAGCATTCCTTACATTATTTGGAAAAAATGGAAATCTCAAATTGTCCCCCAAAGTCTGGCAAGCAGCAAACATGATGTAGACAAGAAATACATTGTGGTTTACCACTGTGCTCTGTTGGCGCTTGATAAATATTGGCTGAATGAATAAACAGATACCTAAGGAAATGACTCATGCCCTGTGTTCCTGTGCAAATCCTCTTCTCATTTCTGACAGGTGATGAAGCAAGAGGCCAAAGCCCCTAGGTTCTAAGCTGTAGTCCTCCTGCATCCAGAAGTTGAAATCATATTTGTTCAATTGTGAGGACTTCTTTGTGGTTAATCAGAATTTAAGATGCGAAGTCTGTTGACTTTAGTAGAGTTTATGGGTGAAACTTTTTAAAAAGGCAACTGCTTCAATTTCATCTTTGGCTTTGACACCTAATAGCTAGAGGAGCACAGGTAGGTTGTTTAACATCTGAAAGAACAATCTGTATTCTACTGATAACACTTCATTGGTGGGTTATAATGAGTAAATGAGATAATGTGTGTCAAGTTTAGCAAGGATTTGGCTTTTAATGAAGAGCTCAATAAAAGTTACCTCCAATTTTCCCTATTTTCTTGAAGAGTTTTACACCTACTTTAAAATATGTATTAAAAGGTGCAATGCATGCACATGTACCCTTCATCCATTTCAAGAAACAGAACACACACACGTCTCCAGTACAGACATATAACCATCCAAATATATGGCTTTCCCCCTCACATGCATGTAGAACAATTATCCAGAAGTCTTTTATTGCACACAGGCATAAATTTATTATTTTAGTTTTTATATATATTTGTAAGCAATATATAGTTATTTTGAATTTTAAGCTATACATTAAACAGTACCATACTTTGTGTATTATTTTCAAATGTTTTTTGTATTGAATAATTTTTTATTTTAGGAATATAAATATATAATATATAAAAATATGACATAAATATATAAATATAACACAAACATATATTTATATATAATATAAAATAAAAATAGGTTATATTTAGAAATATAAGTTTTATACTTATATTGCTTTAATTCCATAGGTCACAAGTCTATCCTCCCAGTCTGTAGCTTGTTTTCTTATCTTGTGTATTAAAACATCGATTAACACAACTTTATAATTTTAAGTAGTCAATAAGTATTTTATTTTTCTTCTTGCTTGTCTTATTCCTTTATTGTCTTTTTTAAAAGATCTTTTTGCTTTGCCGGATGAGCTCATAAAAACTTCTCTTAAAAATTCTCCTAGAGTACATTACTGTTAATTATAGCATTATTCATAACAGCCAAAAGGTGAAACAATCTAAATACCCATCAATTGATGAAACAATAAACGAAAGGTGGTAGGCACATATAATTGAGTATTAGTCATAAAGAGAAAAGAAGTCCGGATACATGGATGAACCTTGAAAACATTACGCCAATGAAATAAGGCACATACCACCTGCCCCGAGTCACCTACAATAGGCAAGTGGTTATCCGGCATGGGAAGGGGGAAGAGGCAGTGTCATTGCTTAGGAGGCACTGCGTTTCACTTGGGAAAAGGACAGTGGTTAGGGTTACAGGACACGATAGATTATATCTTTGTCACTGAATTGTACACATGAAAATTGTTGAACTGGCAAATATTTTGTTAAATACACCTTCAAACTACAACTAAATAAGGGAAAAGGAAAGTCCAGATAATGCAGCAACAACGACAGAAAAGGTTTCCTAAAGTTGTTGTTTTGATTTTCACCACTAGATCTCATCAAGTCAATCCTGACTCCTGGCGACCCCGTGGGTTCCTGAGACGGTACCTGCTGATGGGGTAGAAAGTACAGTCTTTCTCCCGAGGAGCTGCTGGTGGTCTCGAACTGCAGACCATGCAGATCACCGTCCAGTGCCTACCCACTCTGCCACTGGGGATTCTCTACTCAAATTAGGGCTTCTAGTCAAATTAGAATCTGTGTGCACGTGTGCATGTGTGTGTGTTTGGACAGTCAATTGTTAGTGATATATTCATGTATTGAATGAGTTCATCCTTTCCTTATAGATCTGCAGTGCATAGTCAGATTATCGAAAAGCAAGTTTCAAAACAGACTTAGATACAGTTCTAGCTTTTCCCACTGTCCTATCTGCTTATCTTTGAATCCTGTGACAGTGACTTGGTAAGCCTGGCTTTAATAGTAAATTATGCCGTCAAGTAGGGAAGGATTTTCCCCATTCCCTATATAACTTGTTTTTTAAAACAATCTTGATATTGGCCCTTTACTATTCCATATAAATTTGAAAAGCACTTGTCTTTAATCAAGATCTATAAAAAAGGCCGGCCGGGCTCTCCTCCCCACCTCACCTCTGCCCCCCCTTGCCTTGGCCCATGCTGTGCGCAGACCTGGCTGGTAAGATCATGGCCAACCAGGAGAGTGAGGTGGAGACCCCTGGCGGCACACTTGACATGACGTTTGCATATGGTTCTGGACTCAGGACTGGGTGCAGTGCCTAGCGACACATTGACTGGTCCTTATTTGGTGAAGAAAGAGTGTTTGGGACAGATATGGGATGTTGGGGGCCCTAGCAACCACGATGGCCCCTGAGATGACCAGACAGCAGAAAACACAGACCGAGGATGGGGGGTTGGAAACGCGGTCACTAAGGACACTGTCAGGCCGGCATTGCCCTACCTGTCTCCCCCAGACCTGTTCCGCATAAGAAATAGCCGTTTAACCTACCAAAGCCAGGTATTTATTTACCTCTCTCCAACAGAAGGAAACCATATGAATCCACTTGCTTTTCCAAACCCCCAAAACCTGAACCCCAGACACTGCTAATCACACTTAGGATCTCAGTTCTCAAGAAGCAGATCCTGAGCACAAGATTTTTGTTTTGGTATTGTATGTGAATGGATAATTTGGACGTGTAAGAATGGAAACAAGACCAAACAAAAATACCCCAACCTATTATAGGAGGGAAAAAAAATCAGGGCTCCTGGGGGAAGGCTGAGGGAGGGAGAGGATAAATGGGAGCTGACATCAAGGAGTTCAAGAAGAAAGAGAATATTTTGAAACTGATTGTGGTAGCAATTGTACAATACTGCTCTATGTGATTCAACTATGGAATGTTAGGATATCTGTAAGAGCTCCCAATAAAAGGATTAAAGAAAAAATTCTATAAAACATATTCTATAGTGATTTTGATTGGAATTATATTGAATTTATAGACATGTCTAGTTAATGGACAATTTTGTTTCTTCCCAAGCATAAAAATAAAAATCTCTCTCCACTTATGTAAGTCTTCTTTAACAGACTCTAACGAGCCTTGGTGGCATAGTTGCTAGGGGTTGGGCTGTGATCCGCATGGTTGGTAGTGTGAAGCAGCGAACAGCTCTGTGGGAGAAAGACTGGGCGTTCTACTCCATAAATAGTTGCAGTCTGGGATACCCAGAGGGAGTCACTATAAGCTAGCATTCACTCAATAGCAGTGAGTTTGGTTTTTGGTTTAATAAACTGTTACAATTTTCTCAATAAAACTTTGCAAATATTCTCAAGGGGCACCAAGTTCAATTGGCTTAACGGTTTGAAAACAATGTTATGCATCCTACTTTGCTATCTAGTGACTGAAGTTTTAAAAACTTGGAAGTAGCCATCTTAGGTACAGGTCCGAGGCGGTGTGTGGGAAAATGGGCAATTTATGCTCTCAGAGCATCAAAGGGATGCACTTTACCTGTGGATACCGGTTTCCATTGAGT